TGCAAGATTTTCAAACTGTAATTGTATTAATTTGTATATTAAGAGCAAGTAGGTTATACAATAGAGTTGTCGAAAGGTTCTTGATTAAGGGGTTAAGAAAAAAAATAAGACTAACCCTGAATTTTTTTTTTTTTAATAGACAGACAGAGAAACAACAGAGGCACAGTAGTTAAATTGTAGAACCTAGTATCGGTGACACCTTCCAACCACCTACATCAGTAACTATGCTAGCAGACTAACATGCTGCTTCTCCAAAACAAAAACAAAAATGTTGTTGCATCTTGGACTTGTATATTTTTTTGCTTTGAAGAGAACCACAAGGTCACTATGACGCTCAGTTGTAGTTGTAATTAAGGGATAAGAATCAAGTCTGATTTATATGGCAGCAAAATTATCTACAGTTATATAACAGGGATGGTGGGATCAGAGAAAAAGTCCTGTTATATCAGATATACAAGGGAAGTAAGCATTTGCGGACTAATCCAGCTGTAATTATTCATGGGTAATCTCCCTTGCCACAAGTACCCACGAACAGGGGTTTTGGCCATGTAACATTACACGTGCGTGTAGCTAGGCTAAGGGCTAGATCTAGATCGAAGTCTGCAGCACACTGCAGCCGTCTCTTGCTTGGGCTAGCTCCATCACTGTGTTACTGTCTCAGTCTCTCTCTCTCTCTCTCTCTCTCTCTCTCTCCTTACTTTTTATACATTGTTAACGAGCTATATCCCTGCTATATCTATAACTGATTGGGCTCCTATGAGGCCCTGTTATTGCCAATAACTTTAATAGAGACATAGAGTAGGAAAAAACGGGAATTTAAAAAATCCCTGTTATTACGGGCCTGTTATATATATATATGGTTTCCACTGTAACTAACTCTCCACATATCTGAGGTATTGATGAAATTCATGATGAACATACTGTTAACATAATAACAGGTAGGCCTACTTTATATATGTGTCACGACGCAGTGGAATCAGGTGCTCGTCAATATTTGGGCATATGGGATTATTGGTATCATCTTAAAGCCTGTTCATTTGTCCTGCTTTCAGTGAAAAAAGCAACCATCTATCTGTAATAGAAGTAGAGATATTTGAGATTGACGGAGGTGGGAGTCGCCTGGTGTCAGAGCTGCCTCATATAAATATGACAATAGAAATCCCACTAATGGGCACTTTGTAAAATCCAGGCTATAAAGACTGTCATGAAAGTTTTTAAAACTCTCAATCCCTGGTGAATCATTATTTAAATCTTTCATGTGTTGAAAGCAGTTTAAGTTATCGGAGGTTTACTAATTTGTGACCTACTCATATCTCTGGCAACAATATTGGCTTTTAAAATGAGATCTAAAAAAATAGGCAGGTAGCCTATTTACAATGGGTGTATTCAGCACAACTTCCTCATAAAGATTGGAGGACCACAAGTGGCAAGTCCCTCTTTCCAAACTTTTCAAATTTCCAGTGTACCGTACCAACTTGCCTTTCTCAATGACTTTTTGGGGGTTTTTTTAGTTTGAGTTTTATTGCACTTGCAACAAAATAAAATCAAATATAGATGTAAATAAGTGCCAAAGATTAGAGGTGTTAGAAGAGAGTAACATACACAAAAAAGGAAAGAGGAGAGAAGAGAACGATAGATATTTGAAAAAAAAGTAGCAAACCACACCGGAGCACCCAACAACCACCCACATTCGATGAAAGAGTGCACAACAAGCTGCTCTTCGGGCTAAAAAAATACTATTTAAAAAAATATTTTTTAAAAACAAATACAAAGTAAGCTGACTTGTTTCTTTAACAAAATAATGATTAATTGTTGTGCACACTTCATTCTTTTCAACACTCGTTTTAAACCATTCGGCATTCAACATGGAATGTGTCGATAGTGCCGTAAAACATCTACCCAATCAATCAATCAATTCAACATGGAAGCACCATTTTCTGAGGAGTAATGGGTATGGCAGTATGCTGTCATAAGCAGAAGACCTGAGTTTAGTTCCTGCTGCGGGGATGTATCATCCCTCCAAGCCCAGGTTGGCTCCTGAATAATATGAATTGTCAATATAGGGGTGTAAAAATAGCAATGAATGGAAAAAAAAGTGTCTGTAGGTCACACCAGAACAATATTTTATACATTTGTGATGATTCTGCTCTTTACGAAAAAAGAAAGCTAAGCCAATATAAATTCCTGACTCAATTACCCAAGTTTAGGGTAAGAATAGATTAGTACGCTAAAAAAAAACAACCCTCCAACAAACTTCACATTGTAACAAAATGTTTATTTTCATATTTTAAATGATAACATCAAGATGGAGAGAGAGAGAGATAGACTTGTGCATGGGTGATTTAGAAAGGAAGATGTAAAAATAAAACTTTAGCAGTCCAAAGTCTAAGGCACTTTTTTCTAAAACAATATATTTTATGAAATACACAGCATGAAACTAAAATCATAAATGCAATTACAAATAAACATGATATCAAACTCTCATATGATTCATGATAACATTATCTGGCAATATTTAAAATTTTCACTTTCGGAATAACGCATGTTCAGAAGCAAATGACAGTAACAAAAAAACAAAAAAATCAACTAAAAACGTACAAACATAACATACTATAAAAGGCATAGATAGATCACAGTTCATGAGATTCAGCATTAACAAGCACAAAGAACATATGAAGTATTACGGTATAACATTACATGAACACATTATATTGAATAAATCTTTGGGTCCTGGAAAGAGCTCAGCCCATGGGGTGAAATAAATCCACCTAAAGAGGGTCACTGCCGGAATTCTCTTCAATCAATACACTATTCAGTAAGCATACCCCGAGATTGTGGTTTGATCTGCAAAAAAAAGTACCAAAAGCCCATCACTGTGGACCCCGAATTACTTTATTTTCTCTTATCCCCTCACATCCATCTACGATCCTAATGCTTCAAGAAAAACCCACTCAGAACTACGATGATGACAACATAGTTATAGCAAATCACCATATACAGGCTTGTCCAGAACTATTATTTCACATAATTAAAACACACCCACACATCTGGATATATTGATTAAAGAAACATTTTTTTTAAAAGCAGAGCAGTCACATGCATTTTTAAAGTGGCATGAACAGTGAAATGAGCACCAAAAAAAAAGAGTGAGAGAAAAAAACAACCTTTCCCAATTTAAAAATTGCTGACCAAAGAGAACAAAGAAAAAAGAACAAGATATTTTGTGTTTAGGTGCATAAATTAATACAATCCTGAGTCAATCGTCACTAAGAATGAATGAAAGCTTTTCAAGCAAGGACAGTCATGACCATTCTAAAACTTTAACTGTGAACCAGAGGTTCACACATAATGTACATCGTGTGAGGCTCCCCACCAACAGAACAGAGATGGGGAATGTAACCTCCTTCACAGCCTCTTAGTCTCAGGAGGTGGTGAAGTGCATAATGAAAGAGATACACCAACGACCAGTGTCAATAACTTCCACTTTTTCAGACCTTCCTCTCTATTTCATCAGCTTGCCATTTCCAAATCTGCATCAGTACACGTGGACCCACAAAGGCTCTTTTTTCTAATAAATCTAAAAGCAACCAAGCGTACAAAATTGACCGGCAAAACAGACTGGGCAGTGTACATTTCATTTCCAAGACAACAATTACTCTATATATGACCAATTTATAATCATTTTATCTCTCTCTCTATCTCTCTCTCTCTCTCTTCCTTTTTAACTTCCAGAGGATCATAGGCCATCAACAACATTTTTCCAGCAAAGCCTGTCCTGTGCATCCTTTTCTAGCTGTTTAATTATTGTCTACTACACTCCAATTATTTTTTTATATATTCAAAATTATTCATTTCAACTACAAATTTAATAATAGCTGACAACACCTTTTCTTTGGGAGCAAAATCCAAGCATAATAACATCAATCTTTTCAAGCAACACTAAAGTACCGCAAAGAAGTGGTTTTGCCAAAAGAAAAAGTGTTACCTTTACTGCAATAATAATACAGATAATTAATAGAAAATATATTCTGAGCACTCAAAAATAAGTCTCACATCAACATGAATTATAGTTAAAAGAGAATTTGTGCATCTTCTAGACTCTGCTGTTTCCCTATCTGCTCACAAAGTACAAAATATTAATACTTCTCCCGCATGTGGTCTATGTAAGGGCCACTCACTCAATGTCTCAGCACCTCTACTTCTGTAACAACAATAATAGTGGGTGGTTGGTGGGTGTTTTGGTGTGGTTCGCTATTTCTTTCCTTTCAAATATCTGTCGTCCTTACCTCTCCTCATTCCTTTTGGTGTAGGCTACTCTCTTATAACTCCTCTAATCTTCGGCACTTTTATGACCTAATAGTGTTGCGAGCGGCTTAAAGCTCTCACATAAAACTATGAACAAAAGTAAGCACATGAAGGAAGCTGCACATTTCAACAACAAAAGGGGGCTCTCGTGGCCTGGAGGTTAAGGTGTTGGCCTCTCATTCAAAGGTCCCGGGTTCGAATCCAGATAACGACCAAAAAATTTTCTTCTCTAAAATTGTCTCCTTTTTCATCCTTTCCTGCTCTCTAGCAATGTTCTGTTGTCTGCTTTCATTTCCACTTTCTGCCCCCACCCCTCACCTCCTTTGCCCCCTCCTCTGGGCTCCTGACTCTTTCTGCAGCCTTTCTACTGCTACTCCTTGGCTCCTCCTTACTGCTGTCTTTCTGCCACACCCCTGATCTTCTGGTAGGAAAGATCTACACCTAGCCTTCTCGGACAAGGGCGAAAAATCTCGGAGGGCCCGTGTGCAAGTTGCGCACGTTAAAGATCCCTTGGTGGTCTAAAATCGATAAGAGTAGGCTTCGGCCGCCACCCGGGCAAAATTCAAAATTTCCTACCAACTGAAAATATTAGGAGTGTCCCGCGCGCTCATATGACCTATGCAGTTGCGAGCGCTGTAAAACACTTTACAAAAACAAAAAACAACAACAAAATCCTATACAGTATAGAGAGATGAAGTTTACAACTGAGCCAGCAATAGTGAGTGTAGAGTAAGTGTATGGGTTTAATGCCCCTATCAACACTGTCAGTTCTAGGTGATTTAAGAAGCAGGACCTCCAAATTTAACGTCCAGCTCTCATTGGACCAAACCAAATGGGTTTGATAGTCTTGAAAACTCCACAATACAACCCAGGTTCAAGAACACCAAGCCTGGAATTTGAACCAGGGCCATCCACATAATACCAATACAGCTCACAACAGAGCGCCCAAGCCAGCTCTGAGAGGAAAAGTCCCCACAGAAGATTTCTACGACAAATAACTACTACTGTAGGTGCACAAATCAAAACCTTGAGTATAAAAGAAAAATAACATGAACCTTAGAATTTCTACAAGCGACTAGCATTATACAAGAAAACAGTAACAACAAAGTGGTTTTTTTCTGCGTTCATCAAAACCAACCTAACATTATGGACAAAAATACTTTAGCTTACTTTTATATTATATTGCTGCATTCAACAAACACCGGTATTTAAGTTTTGATATTGCAGGCTCTCATCATCTGTGGAGGGAAAAATATAGAACTATTCAGAAACTTCCAAAATTTGATTTTTTTAAAAGCAAGAAAGTGCAAAAAAACCCAAAGCCGTAACACATAGGATTTATCAACCATCAAAGCAAATGATTTATATTTTTCTCCCACATAAAATGTTTCCTTCAAAGGCATGTGAAACAACAACATCAAAAGATCTATCAAATCTCCGCAGATCTATAAAATGTAATTTACAGTTTCTTACTTACAGTATTACTATTCAATCATTCGTCTTTAGTACTGTACATAAAAAACAACAACTTGTGATCTTCAATTCTTGAAAAAAAAACCCCACTTAAAAGCTGCAATAATGATGAACTCTTTTCCTCTGGTTTGCCATTTCAAGTGTTGAAGAAGAAAGGCCCCTAACCTATTCATCGCCACTCCGTGTGGTATTCTTACTTACTATTCCCATTTTCACTTCTCATAGTCCTCTCTATGCACATTCTCCAACCACCCATGTTTCATGTTTATGCTGTCTGTTCAATTAGCAATAGTTTGAGGGGCCAACCATCCATTTAGGCCAACATTAGTCAAAGTTATAGCTGGGTTTGTTTTTGTTTGTTTTGTTGGGTTGTTTTTTTTTGGGGGGGGGGTTGTTGTAAACATACCTTGAGAATCTAAAAACAGGCCTCATAGAAATGGGGAATACATATATGAAAGGAAAAAGTTCAAGGAGACCTCACATTTCCTTCAGTGTCAATATAAGACATTGCAGAAAACCTACAAAATCTAGAACCCAACACTTCTAGATCTGACAGCAACTTTTCAGGAACTTGCCTCAGGCACATTCAGCCCCGTTCTTTAGTTCAGTCTTCCCAGTTTTTACATTTTTTATTATACTATGTTATAACGTTTAATCCTCAGTACAGAATAAATTATATTAACAGCAATATGTGAATACATTTTGTTCCTCGTTGACTACAAAATGGGAAACGCATACTATTTGATGTATACTTACTTCTTCATACACAGTCCACGCCATGGCGGCCATAAGAGTCCGCCTCAAAGTGCGAGGTAAAAATCCACGCCAGAAACCCAAAACACCCCGTTCCTGAGGACAAAATGAAAAATATCATCAGAAAGTAGAAACTCATAGGTCATCATTAAGTTACATTATTAAACTTAAAAACAATGATAAGGCGTATATATATATATATAAATGTATATCCAGAAAAGTTCGCTAAAACTGAACCCAGTTAATACAAAAACAGTTGTAAGCTGCAAGAAAATAAAATACCTGATCTCTTTTTTCTTCTATTTGAGAAAACTCTCTGAACTAAAAATCCTGCCAAACCGAAGAAAATCCGACAGCTCCACAGTTTTCAGTTTAAGCAGACTCCACTGTATATAATTTGTCACAATACGGTAGAATCAGGCACTCGTCAATTTTTTAGCATATAGGCTTTTTATGGTACCATCTTAAAGTTTTCCCTTTTGCCTTGACCTTGATGAAAAACACACCTATCCATCTTGAACAGAAGTCGAGAAATTTGCCATTGAAGGAGATGAAGGGGTTGCATAGTGTCAAAAAAATCAAACTTTTTCAGGAAACAAAAAAATTTCAGATCATTTACAAACTGTACCTACCTTATATTTTTTTTAGATAATGAATTTCAATCAAATGCTTCATGAGTGTATGCAGCCAGTACCATAGATTAAGAGACTGCAATAGTTGTTTTTTTTACAACTTGGGCTTGGCACATCTAAACAACTCATTGACAATTCAACTACGAATTGAGTCCAGTTATTTTCAGGTAAATTATTCACTTTCACTAGCTAACAGCAGTCTCTCTTGCTCCCAATTAATTCTCACAGCTTCCTCCCGAAACCACTTACATTGTAGATAACGAGAGCCACTGTCTTCAACCTGCCGTATTTCTTTGGATAGAGTTGAACGTTCGTCTTGATGACGTCGGCCGGCTGCGTAACAAAGGAAGCCAGAGACCCGGCCAGGACTCCGTTTGTGAAGGTGACCCCTGGGGCCGCAGGAGTCTGGCCATCTGGAAAATTAGTGAACAAAAAAATAGTTAAAGTAAAGGAACCCAAAGATTACAGAAAAAGATGAACAGCCGTTCGTTTTAAGATGGTGTTATATTCTAAAGCCATAATTTCTGACAAAAGTTTAAACATATATATCTTTTTTAAAGAATCGAAGTTCATAAAAAGATGGGAAGCATTTCTTATAAAGATGGTGTCATTTTTTTAAAGACATAATAATTTCTGTCAGAATTTCAAAGATACATCTTTTTTCTTTCTCACTCTGGTAAACATCTGCATAAGTTTAAAGGCGTACATATCAAATCAGAAGCCAAAATTACAACTTTGAAACCGCGCTTCTGATTTACTTTAGACCTGTTCACATTTGGTTTTTGCTTTATTGCTGGCACTTCAATGACCACTTGTGAAATGTTCTGTGAGTCTGACCAGGCACTTATTCAAAAAGTGTGGAACTTGTTCTATAGCATGAGTTAAGTCATACACAATAAAAGGTATGCTTCTAAAGAAAATAGATTCATTTCACGCATTAAATAAAATATTATCATACCTGAAGACAAAGCTTTTAACTTCCTGTAAATCATCAAATAAATCCCCGAAAACGGAACGTCCCTGAGTAAAGTAGGAGCCAGTCCACTGTACAATGCTGTAGAAAAAAAAAATTCTTATAAGAATTGCATGATTGGAGAAACCATTGAATACGAAAGGATTGAACATATGAACAAAACAATAGTTTAGATTTAACATCAGGCCAAAAAAAAAAATTCTGAAAATACTGAGTCTTAATCAACAAAAAATAAAATTTACATGTGTCCACAAAACAAAACTTCCACAAAAAACCCAGTCTTGTGCAAAGACAATATCAACAATAAGTTAAATAAGAAGTACATTGCATTCTACAGCCAAGTGCGATTGAGAACTTCAAGCGTTAAAATTGTACAAAATAAAAAGAGACATTTTAAATACAAAACATTTGAGAACAGAGATGTCCTTACCTCTGATTCCTTCCTTTGAGTATGTTGAGTGCATACCCTGAAAAAGACCTCTGTAGTGAAAGTCTCCACTCTGGGAAATAAAAAATAAGCAAATACTCATCAATATCATTGATCAAAAACACATTATCATCACAAACAGACCATTATCGACAAATGAAAGATTTTAAATACAAATAACTTTTACAACATTTCTGGGCACACTCATTACCTAAAATAGACCTGTGTTCTGATTTGATGTTGGATATATGTAAGTTACATACAAAACGTGTCAAAAACATTAAATGTTATGCTTCAAGAAAAAACAAAACAGGCAAATGGAAAATCCTTTGAAATTTGATGATAAGATGATGATGATGATGATGATGATGATGATGATGATGATGATGATGATGATGACAATGATGACAATGGTGAAGGTGATGATGACGATGAAGAGGATAAAATAAGGCACTTAAATCGACAAAACATAAATAACTTCTCTAAATATCACTTTCTAACCTCATATCTTGTTTTCATGACAGTGAACGGAAGCACTGCGACCCCAGCAAGGGCCCGGGCAGATGCCCCCATGGCCACAGATTCCAGAGGGTGGGGACTTTCACTCCTGGGAATTATAAATTCATTACATAAAAAAACTATTGGTGAGACAAACTGCAAATGCAGATATAAAAGATGTACTTATAGACTTTGTCATTTGTCAACATATATATATAAATATATATTTTTTTTTTTTCATTTGTCATTTGTCAACATATACAAAAAACATTTTTTAATGATTAATTCAGCCACCATAAATAACAATTTATAAAAAAGAAAATACTTAATTTCTTTTTTGACAAATGAGCTTTTGTTGGCAGACAATTCAACTGCGAATGAAACTGAACCTTAAAAAAATTAAACCTCTAGACACTAAAATCCCCATGACATCCTCAACGTCAATGAATAATGCTTCATTGTAAACTTGTAATGTTGCATCACATCCTAAAAAACAAATGGCTTATGAAATTATTTTGATAAGCCTTGTCATACATTTCGCTTTAAGAGTACAATAAACTAAGAACCAATACTGAAATTAACAAAGAATGGTGATGTGACAGTTTTTAAAAATTTGTTTGATTATTTAGTTAGTCTTCAGCATAGAGGAACACAAATTCCACATTTATATATGAAGCATGCCAACAAAATGAGTTACTTCTCGGCTTTGAGCCCAATGGAAATAGATACATAGGTGAAGTATTTACAGTTTTTAAGTATGAAATAATGAAAAGCATGTTATACTTAAAGAATATGGTATCAAAGGAAAATCTACAAATTTGATCCTCGTTTCGATTTCGGGCTAATGTCTCTATTTGTGGATTGCGAGAAGTAACTCATTTTGTCAGCAGGTCTCACATATATATATATATATATATATATATATATATATATATATATATATATATATATATGATAATTGGACAGTAAAGAAAGGACACAAGTACTTCACTCACCCACAAGTAGACTGAAGCCAGTGAAGACTGGTAAAGTATAAGCCAATGCCAGGAACACATCTTGATATGGACTGTAAAAGAAAAACAACAGAGACAAATAGCACGATGTACAAAAGGAATATATGACAGTATTATATATTATTATATACATCAAAGAGTCCATACCAAAGAAAAAGAAATGTGACACAAATGTTTGTGATAATATTTTCATACAGCATGACCACAGTGAAATATAACCACAGACAATTAATTGTAGCATCGATAGTACATTGAAAATTTGAACAGCTACATATGAATCCAACATCAATTTGCATAAACACATTAGTGCTCATAATATAATGTAAAGTGCATAGAGCCTGCTGTTGAGCGGGGGCACTCTATACAAATGATATATTATATATTATTATTATTATTATCATTATATATTATCATCATCATTATTATTATTACTATTATATTCATTATTTATTACTATTATTAATATTATTACCCTTATTATTATAATTATCATTATTAATAGTAGTGGTAGTAGAAGTAGTAGAAGCAGTATTACTCTTATTAAACTTTGAAAGAAAACTTAAAATCATTAAATTACCCAAAACTGTAATGTAATTGAATTCACAGATATGTGGCGCAGTGTACGGTGAGCAGATTGGAAAGAGTTAAAGACAGGGGTAAAGCCATACTTTTGAGTTCACATTTAGTGTGATCTAAGATATAATATAAGCTGCATAACAGAGAAGGTTTTGGATTGGAACCCACAGGGCAAGAGATCAAGGGGAAGACCTCGTGGAACCAGGAGAAGAATAACAGAAATCGATGTACAGAAAAGTGGGAAGACATGGAATAACATCAAGAGGCTAGCCCAGGATAGAGAAAGGTGGAAGGTGTTTGTCCGTGGCCTATACCCTGGTGTAGCGTGAGAAAGGCAATGATGATGACGATGAAGATATAATGGAAGACAAAGGAATGAGTCAACACTTACTGGTACAAGGCCACTCCATAGAGCAAACACACGCTCTTGGCGGATTACATTAGCTATTTCTCCAACCATTCCAAGTTTAGATCTGTGGACAAAACAAAACATGCAATAATTAAGACTTTGTCTTAGAACAAATCACTAAATCAACATACATTAAAGGACAGAGGAAACAATACCAGAACTCGTATAATCTATTCAACTATTTAGACAGTACACCGTACAGCAAAACGTCATAAGGTGGGCAAAACAAAAGCATCAAGAACATACTCACTTCAAATATTATAAGTCAGCCAACACCATAGAACTAAAATCGGATTGCCTACATATTTTTAATTTATAGGGTAAAATTCTATAATAAGAGAACTACCTCTACAATAAAAAAAAAAGAACAACACCTATAGGGAAAGGACATAATTAAAAGACTGAAAAGTAGTTGTGTTTGAATATTTTTTTAAAAGCTGTAAAGCTCGTTTTTTTCATCTAAGGTTAAAATAATATCTTTAAAAGCACAATTATGAGCTGATCATAGTAACATCAAATACATTTGATACATTCATCATCAAAATCTCATTCTCCATACTTAGAAGGGACAGTGAATAAAAGCAACTCGAAACAGGGAAACAACTCATGAAGAGAGGATTAGAAATGAAAAAGTTATTACACATTCGTGAGAGCAGTCTATGGGGGGAAAATGGGCTTCATCACAAAAAGGAAACTGTGACCTTAACAATCTTTAATTCAAAAAGCTTGTAGACTCATAAATTCATTATATTCAATCAATTAGAAATAAAGTCAAGAGTCAACATTAATAGCTTTTAAAATTGATCTTTCCTCAAAATTTCCATTTTGTGACTTTGCCTAGTTTTTCTGGGGACTTCACAAACAGAAAAAAAAAAAAAAAGGAGCTCACCCTAAATTGACTGATTTTTGCAGCCTTGTTTTCACAAGGTCCAAAGGCTGGAACAATACAGTAGAACATGTCCCACTGAAAGCACCGGCCATGAAAGACTTCACCAAGGGAGACTGTAAAACAACAAAAATAGGAATTTTTATAATAAAATGTATGTTAAAGAAGACATCATAAGGGGCTATTCAAATTTATATAAATCTTACACCTTTTTGGGGATACTTTCTGCCCCCTCCTTCCCACACTTTTCTTATATTTGCCTGCCGATTACCCCTCGATCCCGTAATACTACATTGTTCACTTATAATAATATAATTAATATGACATTTATATCGCGTAAATCTGTGTTTGTTCGATTCGCGCTTTACATAATATATATGAAAAACAAGCATACTCACAAATACATGCACATAATAATATATGTGCAGTTCTACATTCACTAAAAAATAACAATAAATCATTCAAGCAAAATATAGCATTTATATATACACACTCTTTCTTACTAATAAGGAAAAAAATTGAGACTCATGTCAATGTCAAAAGCGCTTTAATTACACACAAATAAAACAAATTACAGTGGAATTCTGATAAAATCAACACCTCGGGACCGAAAAAAAGTGTAATAGTGCATTGGTTCAAGCCCCACTCCCCACCCCCCCCTTTCTAACACTTTTCTTACAGGAGAGTCAAAGACACCTCCCCC